AATGAAGTTAGTGGCTGCACTTAATTTCAAAGAAAACAAAATTAGCCACTAATTAGAGACAAATTTTAGAGACAGATTTTGTAAGGAAAATAGGTTTAGAAACTAAAATTTCCGTCACTAAAAATTGGTCTCTTAAAGTTCACAAAATTTTCTAAAATTTGTTGCTCCTTCTCTTCCAATTCCAGCCACCAAGTATGCAGCCCTCACTAGTGTATCACTCTTCTTTTATAAGCAACCTTGAATTTGGTTACTTCTAGGTGTTTGCAAGAGACCTTCCACTAAGAGAGAACAAGCTCCCTAAGCAACCACCAAAGCCTTCAAGTTGACTTCCTTTGACTTGGCCTCCTACACCTTTTAAGAAGCACTCAACCACCTTCAATTGCTGGAATATTAGTGCTAAAACTGAAAAGGCACAATTTAGAAAAGCTACACCAATTGGTGGAATGAAATGAGACAAACTAGAAGGAGTTCCAAAAATTGACAAGCAAGAAATTAAGGCAAATTTAGAAAGCTAGCACACAAAGGATAACCTATCAAAGGCACTAGAATGGATTACAAAATCAAAGCTAAGATTAGAAATAAAATTAAGACACAAAATATATGGCTGGACTGAAAATTTTAGAGGCAAAGTTTCACCAAAACCGAGAGCTAGTTACACAAAATTTTTCACTCCTTTTGGCTTTTTCTTTTGCTATTTTCTTTCTTTTCTTTTTGCAAAATATTTTTCACTTCTTTTTCTTTGATTAATCGGGAGTTTAAATGCCTTTTGAAAAATTATAGGTCTCGGCCTTAGGCTAGAAAAACTGCTGCAAAAATATTTTCACAAAACAAGAGATGTTCACAAGCATGTTTTCACTAGTGCTTCACAATTTTATAGTATTTTTAGGTCAAATTTTTAGGCACTATTTTATTTTGTTTTTCTCATGCATTAAGAACACATACACCTCTGTTTTGTCTCTGTTTTAAGTCTTTAAGAAATGATATAGGTTTTAGCCACACATAAGACTCAAGGAAACGTAATAGGAAAAAGTGTTTAACAATTTTTTTGACAAAACTTTAATCAAGACATAATAGAAACGTAACTCTAGGAAATTTGCTAGAACTAATAGCAAATTATGAAATCAAACATGTAAAACAAAATCTCATATAAGTAGGCACAGATTTATAAAGCAAAAGACATACCAAACAAAGTTTCACAAACAACACAAAAAATTAGGTCAAACAAGCTAGTCTAGGAAGTTTCAACATGTAAAAGGACTACACGTGACTTCTAAGACAAAACAATTGATTCAAAAACAAATCTAATGTAGTATGAATGTTGTCCAATCACGGACACATGTTAATGAATGGAGATACTCAAACAAATACAAAACACACAAGGTTTAAGAGAACCTAAAAGCACAAAACAATTGATTCACAAAACAATAGGAACAAGCAAAAACATGAATCAATTTAGTTCACATATGACATATAGGATCCATCAAAATGTTTTAGAAGACATAGATCCATGCAGCAACACAAAGATTTGACATAGAAAAGGAAGAGACAAGACGGATTCAATGAACAAAGTTAGAACACAAAACCTCAAGTGCACTAGGCTCTAGATACCAAAAAAGATGGAAGTACTTGGAAAGGATTGATGTTCTTCCAAGTTCTCCATGCAAAGGACCGAAGAACTCTTGAGGTATCCTTGAATAGAAGCTTGAATCTCCACGAAGGAACCTTCAATGGAGGTTGAAGCAATGAAGATGATTCAGTTACTCCTTAGCTTGTGAAGGAAGCTTGAGGAACCAAGGCAAAGTTTGAAGAACTTTGATAGAAACCTTAGAGAGAAAATTCTCTACGGTTTTTAGGGACTCTTGAGTGAGAGAAATCTGAAGTTTTATTTTTCAAAATGTTCAAAAGTGAATACAAGAGTAGAAAATACAAATATATAGGGATAGGTAGCTTAGAAAGCAAGCTAACCTTAACCATGGTTCACTAGGAACCATGGTGAGGTTAGGCTTGACCCTCCATGGTTTGTAAAGCTTGCAGGAGAAGCTAACCTTGACCATGGTTCACTTAAGAACCATGGTAAGGTCAGCTAAACCTCCAAGGTTTAGAAACTTGGATGACAAGCTACTAAACTTGAAGAAGGTGACTTGAAATTCGGCCAAAAAGAGACAAGGAAGCTAGGCGGCCAAGAACTCAATTTGCTCACTTGATTTAATTCAAAAATATTTGTTTTGGTTTAGTTAGGTTCATCAAATGATGATGAGACCTAGCTAAATCAAATCTATGAAAAATTAGGAGCAAAATGAGTCTAATATGTAAAATTTTGCCTAGGCCCAGTCCTGGCCCAATTACTAGTCACACCCTCAAGCATTGCTAAATTCCACCCCTTTTTCCCTACTGAAAAAATATAAAATGAATGTATCAACTATGGGGGGTTAAATGGAGTTAAACTCTCCAAGTAGCCTACCCTAAAATCAATATACAAACACTAGAAAAAGCAAGTAAAGTGCCTCACAAATACAAAGACAAAAATAACTTATACAAGAGACTATGTACAAACTATACAATATTCACAAGTAGAACTAGGCCTTCTCTTTATGATAGAGTAGTCCAAGTGAATAATATCTTGGGCTTGAAAATCCCACTAGTCTTCAAGAGGTCCAACTCTTCTTGTATTCTTCTAGCCATAGCTTTGGTAACTGGGCCCTTGGCCCATGGTCTTTCACATCAGAACGGGGGGCACCACAATCACGATCCTTAACGGTGATGGCTCAGCAGTTTGTTTCAGCTTCTTCGCCTTCTTCGGCCTTTCCTCCTTACCCTTTCACTTTTGACCGTCTTGGTCAACTTCCTTTCCCTTTTTCCCCCTTCGGTGCTTGTAGTTCGGCGAAGGGGGGCTTCGGTTGTCTTGAACCGGGAGAGGAGTTTGGGCAAGGGCTGAGCTGCCCACCACCCCGGATGCCTTGGCCTGTTGGACTCGGCTGGCCAGCAAGTTGCGGATATTGAACTCATCGACTCCGCTCGACACCATGATTCCTGTAAAGACAATCAAGTGAACATCAATATGAATTTAGCTTATGGCAGAAACATGACAAATCACGTACCTATTAAGTCACTCTCGCATTTGGGAGATTCAACCACGTTTATTAGTGACCTTGTCGGCAAGCGCCGAGGAAGGCGAAGCAAAAATTGTAGGTCCCGTTGCTCTTCGGCCGTGAGAAGCTCATCCCGCACTTCATCATATGGCTGAGGGGCACGTGTCTAATACAACGGAAACAAACTTTTGTTGTTGGTCCCGAAGAAAAAATGACGCCCATTTGGACGAATGGTTACTCGAAAGAACCTAGCTTTGAAGTTCTTGTATGACAAGTGAAGCTATCTAAAAGTTGCCGATTCCCCACTCGGTTAAGAGATACCCACTTCGCCAAATCCGATGGCCGAGATGAATAAAAATAAAGAAAGAGCAACGGTGAAGGCCTAATGCTCAAGCATCGGCACAGGTGTTTGAAACCTTGCAGTTGAGCACAACTATTCGGATGTAGTTGGGTCGGCGCCACATTCAAAACCCTTAGCACCCCCATTATGAACTCATCAAATGACAGTCTCACCTTAAGATCTCGCAAAAGGAAATCGTAAATGTAGAAGGATTCCATCTTTTCGGCTCGCTTGTCCAAGCAAACCATGTCGGGGTTCGGAAAGGCGTTATTTCGGTAAGCCCGAACCCCGATCGGATATGGCTCCTCTCTGGCATCAAAATCCAAACACTTGGTGTATTCCAACAAGTTTGTGATCATGGTGGTGTCTCGGTAACGGGAATAATATGAGGTCACCTCCCCGTTCACCCATTCGTACTCAGGCACTTCGGACGGCCCATATCGCTGACAAGTGGAAATGCGTCTAGTTCTGGTCAGCACTTTTGGACTCCCACTGGTAGACGTCTCTTCGGAGGTATCTCCACTCTCACTAGGATGTTCGTCTTCATTCGGCGATGGTATTTCTATGTATGAATGACCCGAGACCTTGGACGATAACCCTTCGGATGATGATGCCCGAGCCCCACTAGCCGAAGAGCTTTCGAAAGAATTCGCCATAAAATCACTTACCAAGAATGAGACTCTGAAACGGTTACTCGGCACGCTTAGTTGGATCTTTGAACTTGCTCGAACAATACACTTCGGCTAAGAGCGATACGCGTGAGAGGCCCTACCACTCATGACTATATATAGCCAAGGAAAAAGGTGGGAAAATTCAAAAGTTTGAAAAGAATAACCGCCTAATCTTCAAGATCCAACGATTGAGATTGCCCAAACCTTTCGACTTCCCACAAGACCTAACTTCACCTCTATACCCTTGAAGAAGGTATCTCTTCTCCAAGGCTGGGGGGCAAGTGTACTAATAAGACCATTCGGCCACCAGGTAGCCGATATCCTATCGGCACCCGAACGGCCGAACTAGGTAGTCGACGACTGATCGGCCACTGAATGTTCCATAAACTCATATCACCCCTAATCAAGAGTTAAGGATTATCCCTAATCAAGAGTTAAGAGCTAATCACACCAATAAGCCAATTAGAGGCATATTACCTAATATGATAATCCTGTTGCAGAGCCCATGGGAGTCAGGGCCCATTAATGTCAGTATAAATAGCTCATGTCACGAGGTAACGTCATTGTTCATTAATTACTATCGATATTTGTGTTTGTCCTGACTTGAGCGTCGGAGTGCCTTTTGCAGGTACCCTCCCTCTCACCGAAATATTCGTTTGGAACTCTCGTTCGACCCTCAGAGACAGGAAGATTACTAGTGTGCCCTTTAGACAGGTACACATTCATATATTTAAAACATTTAAACCATTATCCATTCTCGTATTATTCTCGCATAACATGCATTCTTTACATAATCTTGACTAATAATGCTTTAAGTTCACATCAATAATACATCAATTATTGCATATATATCATAACCGGTTACATATACCAAGAACTATATGAACTGAGGCCATGAAAGTCCATGTTTTATTTGGTGAGCTCAACGGAAGGGCGCAAAGTGACAGAAACTAAAATAACAACTTGGAAACACAACATATAACATGTCTTTCTTGGTAGAACACATTTATATATCAAACTTCAAATAGTTGTTTTAGATTGTAAGGACTTGTGACAGTGCGATTTCCATTCCATATCAACTCGGCAAAATGCTGACTAGCTCGATCAGTGGGATGATGAGAGTCGAAAAACAAATGTTGATCCACATTGTCACACAACTCGTATTCTTTTATCCCTTTGTTCCCTCCACAACTATCATCTCCTCTATATGCCCCACCTCCACAACATGCAACGCTCGCTTCTTTGAACCCTTCAATTCCCAAATAGTACGTCAAAGAGAAAACAATGATTACAATATGCTCACAAATAAAAATAATATCCATAATATATAGTTTTAGGGTATACGGGTATACCATATTCCGTAGGGTTGTTCAGCACTTGAGAAACTGCACTATAGAAATCAGTCACTGAATATTTGAATCCCTTCAGATGTTTCTCTATAGCTCATGAAGCATTTTTGTTAGTGCAATGTTGTGTAGTCTTGCGATGGCTGAAAATTCTTCGAAGCATGGACCTGTGCTTCCATTATTCACCCAATTCCTTATGGCAGGGGAACAACCTATTGGACCCACATTAAAGAATCCAAATTTCCTCCCACCAAGGTTATAAATTTCCTAAAATTATATATATATTATGGTTAGAATCACTATAACAAAATTTATCATTAATGACAATTATTTAACGTCAATAAATTAATTGTCTCTATTTTATTATCTAATAAAAATATTAATGATTAATATATAATGACCACTAAAAATATATTTATATCAGACTAAAATTTACTATTAGCGATAATTATTTATTAAAAAAATTTAAATCCCACATTGACTAGAGATAAGATAATTAAGCAGTATATAAGTGGATGATAACTTTCACCTTACAAATTTGTTTTGTAGGGTTGAGTTAGACATATAACTTATTATTCTAAGTTGGTGATGGAATCATGCTAGGAAAGCAAGGGGTGACATATTGAAGGAGCCAAGAGGAGTGGGCTAGACAAGGAGGATTGGGCCAGTTAAGGCCCAATGGGCCCGATAGGGCTTGAAAGGCCCAAGTTGAGCTTCTCATGGGCCATATCTTGTTTTAGCTATTTTCTTATGTCTTGTATATACCATGTTAGTATAGGTTCTCTATATTTTGGGTCTTGTATTTTGGACCATATAGGATAACATTTTAGGCTATAGGCTTATTGGGTCTAGTTTTGGGCTTCATGGACCTTTGGGCTTTTGGTACCCAATATTGGGCTCATTTTCATTCTTGTAATTTTTCCTTTCCATTGTATTT